AGAGAGATGTATACTTGTAACATGCCAATTTTGTTAGGGTAGGTGTTGAAGGGGTTTTTGACATCTGTTTTGGATTTCCCCTACCATAATTAATTTGTAAATTGGTGCTATTAAGTTTCAGAAACTAGCAGAAAAACTTATAAAAAGGTTTTTGATAACTATTAGGGATATTTAAGCTTATTGTCACTAAGTAGGAACTGAATTGAAGACAACAGTGACAAATTAAGATTTGTTTTAATCCTGCTTTATTAAGTGAAAGTCGAAGGCTTTACTATTCAATGAAACAAAAATTTCTGTTAAATCAGTTTCCTTCCTGTGGATTTTTAACAATAAAAGGCAAAGAAACTATATTTTTAAATAGGTATCATTAAAAACAGGCATTCTCAATCCTTCATATTAACTTTAAGGTACTAAGTGTAAATACACATGTATCTAAAATTCTGTATATAAATCTTTGCCAAATCTACTTTTATTAAATGGATGAAGACGCAAATACCAAACTCAAAATACCAATGATTTTCTAGTTATAGAAGATAATTTTTTTTTAAAACTTTGTCTTCAGGCATGTGAATTATCTTTTAATTCTCTTATAATGAGTCAGAATATGACTGTTGCCATTTGCTCTCCATGAAATTAAAATGCCTTTTCCAACTCATTTCAGCTTCCTTCTTAGCAAAAGTTTGTTATTTCTGACCTAAGAGTTATCTTGTGCTGGCAAAACCATCAAACTATATGTTGAACTATCTTGAGATTTAGACATTTTGAGGAAGTCTATATTCATTCCAAAATCCTTTTTGCACAGAAGAAAATGTATCAGAAGTCATAGGAAACTCCAGTATATGTTATATATGCATTGACTATTAAAAAGCAGCAGGGGGAGCAGACAGTAAGACACCTTTGTATATGTATCTGAAGTAATAAGTACAACCAATGTGATTATTATAAGAATCTTGTCAAACAAAAGCATTATTTATCATTCTTGCTATTGCAGGGGGATAAAAGTTTATTGCATTTATCCATAACTTTGGGAAAGGTACTATTTGATCTTTTCTTTAAATAAAAAATAAAGACATAGTTTATTGTACTATCAAACAAAAGTTACCATTATCCTATAAATTTAAATTTTCTTAGTAACACTAAGAAAAAGCATACCAGAAAAGTAATTTAATTTAGAGGTAACAGGAACATGATAAAGATGTTTGTTAAAACCCAAACAGACAAAATTCATTCCATGAGGAACTCACGGCCATATTTCAAAGCTGCCCTATGCACATCTGGAATGAACTAAAGAAAAACCTTGTTTCTTAGAAGGATGCTTGAATCCTAATTTCAAGATAGATTTTCGCTTCAAGAATGGTAGTTTCCGGGCCTCCCTGGTGGCACAAGGGGTTAAGCACTGCGCTGTGAAGCACAGCCTCTGCAGCAGGAGTTCAATCTCCAGCCAGGGAGCTACCCACATGGTGAAGGAGACCTCACCTATCTCGCCTGCTGCTCCCCTCAGCAGTGTATTTCGTCAGTCTGCCTGTTCTATTCCCAGCTCTGGTGAATTCTCTCACCCTCCCGTGCTTCTGACTGTACCCAGTGCTTGTATAAATAAATAAATCTTAAAAAAAAAAAAGCTTCTAAAAAAAAAGAAATTAAAATGTTTATGTCTATGTTATATCAAAAACACTATAACCAAATCACTTTTTAATAATACAGATATATGCACTAAGGACAGTTATCTAAAAATTGTATTATAAAAATCCATGAAATTTACAATATCAGGTATAACTTAACAACTGAACGGTAAAAACAAAAAACTTATTTTAACCAAGCAGGTGGCCAATGAAGTCTGTCTACTATTATTGCCAGACACTGTTTGATAGCTATTATATATATATATATATAAATATATATATTTTAACTCTTATATTGCCTTTTCAAGAAAAATAGATCACTCACACCTTAAACTAAGGAGACTGAAGCTAAAAAATTCTGTCATTTCTCTAATGTAACTCAGCCAGCAAGGAATAAAACCAAGATTCAACTTGCAGGTCTGTTTGCCCCAAAGCTTTGGGGCAAACCCAAACCTCCCTCAACTGAGGTTCTAAAGAAATCTGTACAAATCTCAGGCAGATTAATGAGCTTATGAAGGGTAAGTGCTGTAGATTTAAGCACTCAAATTAAATGTCATCTGGAGTTTTTACTCCACTTGGTACAAGCATCCTACAGCCAGGGCTAGTCTTGGCCACAAATTCAATTCTCCTGCCCCAAATACCATCAATAAGCATTATACACATGACAATGCCAATCAGGAAATACAAGTGGATGCTTCTAGAGTATCACTTAAAAACTACTAAGAGTTTAGATTCCTTTTATTAAGATTTAAATAAACTTTAAATAATATTAACCCATTTTGGTAAATGATTTTCAGGGATCAATTTTTTTTCCTAATACCCCAAATCACCTCCATAATAAGTTTTTCTACTATCACTCAAAAATCCTTATCTTTTACTAGTATTTTTATCTTGTCATTTTAACCTATTATGGTACACTTAAAAAACAAAACAAAAAAAAACCTTGCGAGAAGAAAACAGAAAAGCCATGATTTTTCAAAAGCAAAAAGTGAATAACTTAAAGCAATAAAAGAAGTACACAAAAAGAATGGATGGTAATTAAGCTAATAATCAAAAAGCGATGTTTTAGAGTTATTCCTACTATGGATGCATGATGTAAGCTGTCACATTTCCTCTTTAGACTTAGGTTCGGCATCACTCACAGGGAACTTCGGATCAGCTGCTTCAACTCAGTTTACAGCTCAAGTGAATGTGACTTATCTGTGCCCTTGTTATCAAGCAGAAGGGTAACTTTACAACCTTTACCAAGAGCTTTTTGCCTTCTACACTAATCCTTTTCATCTATAAAAAAATCACATGAGCTTAGCACTCATTTAGAAATGGGTTAAAAATTGAATGGCGTAGGCATTAGAAGTTTAAGCAACTTCAGCTTCAGTTCAGCTGAAATTCTTAATGTTAAGAGTAAGTGTCAAGTCACTGGAAATTAAGTGAAAGTATAACTTGTGGGCCTGCACAATGAAGATTAAAAAAAAAAAAATCTTATTTGGTGCCTTTAAAAAAAAGAGCAATTGTTTGACCTACAGTTTTATTTTTGCTTCACCTTAAAGAACGGATAAATTAAGTACTTGACAGTTGAAGTCATTATTAGATTTCATGTTCATTTTTAAATTTTAATGTAGGTCTCAACATGAAGAGCATAGACTTTGAGAAAGTAATTGCAGTTGCTCAGGTTTATTTCACTGAAAAAGTACTGTCAAATCATCTTGAAAACATTAGCAAAGGCTTAGACATCTCGTTAGATGTCTTTAGGTCCCATTCTTCTTACTACACCGAATTAATCAGAGGAGAGAATTAAGAAAGTAGGCTCAATACAGAATGGTTCCAAATCAGCAATTAGGAGTCTGGAAATATTCAGCATATGTCAAGGGCTAATATGAACTGAATTATTAAAAAACTATATTTTATAAAATTAATCAATGAACTAAGAACTTGTTAGCCAAGTGAGGACAATGGCACCCGAAGCCAGCAGAGCAGGGAGTAGGAGAGCAATGACTGATAATTTTGATGAGGAACCGTACCATATTTAGAAATGAGACCCAAATGACCCAAACAATCTAACAAATAAACCAAACAGAATAGATTGGCTCACCAGTGTGCATATGGGTAGGTGAGTGTGCTCACTAGTTGCTTAGTGCCTGCAGGCAATGACTGGGGGTGAGGAGGGCTTGGGGAAGGTCCCTTTTGTTTTATCTTAAGTCAACTTTTCATTAACAATGCTACCCACATAAGCATTGTTAGCAGACAAGACAATCAAGTGGCTGAAATGCTTTGCCATTTTAAAAAACTGCCTGGAAAAAAACAGGTGGGATAAAAACTACATTTAGCTTTTTTAAAAAAAGCATCACTGCTTGAAAGACATGTGCATGCAGATAAACAGGAGAATGGCATAACCTTCCTGACCTTGTAAATAGGTGGCCAAAAATACTTACCTATTTTTTTTTAAGAGGCCAAGTGTTACCAATTGCCACAGAAAGTTACCAGTCCGGACTGGCTGAATCCTTCAGCCATCTGCATCCAACATGCACATGCCTCCTTTTTCATCCCTTCAGCCAAATAGTCATTAAAAACATACATCATCCCAATTATTTCCTTACATAGAGACAAAAAGAACAGAAATTCCAAAAAATACATAGAGCAAAACTGACAACACTCTGCCTTGCTTTAAGGTTGACTCAGGCTGAAGGTTACTTCTCAGCCCTCAAAACTCCATTAACCAAGAAGACCAGCCCTTTGGCACATAGGCACAAATGCTCCATTGAAGCATCACTGTAACTAAATGACCTCAGAAAACTGGACTTTCTCTCTAAGACTCATAGAAACTAAGGTAATGACCACAATGAACCTTCTGACTTTGTAGATGCTTCTTGTGGGCACACAGGCCATGTTCGTACAGGGTACCCTGACATCTAGATAAATGAAGGTTAAGGTCCAAGTTCACTGGACTCAGTTCTAAGTCTGAGTGAGGTACGCAAGTGGTAACATCCAAGAGATGGCACTGACCTCCAGCAACTCTTATTTCCAACTAGCAATGCCCAAAATACCCTTAAACGTGCAACTTGAACGGACCGCGCTGGGTTTCTTTTGCAAGGGCAAAATGTCACTTAGGAGACCCCCCAACCAAAAAAAAAAAAAAAAAGGAAAATGCACTGTGTCCAGGGAATACTGCAATCAAACTACATCAAAGTTACTTTTGCAAAATGTTTATCTGGCGTGAATGTAAGAGAAGGACGGCACAGAATCAGGACCCTTCTTCCAAGGGTGCGGAACAGTCAACACGCAGTGTGACATGTCTTCCCCCGGGGTCATGGGGGTGCTGGTGGCTTCGCCAGGCAAGGGGATCCACAGCCTAGGGGCACATGTGAGCTCAGGGCAGGGGCTTACCTTGTTGGAGGCCATCTCACTGACAGAGTGCCGGGTCTGCAGGGTCTCTAGCTGGTCCAGACACCAGTCCAGCTCCTCCAGGGTCTCGCTGGCCAGTTTCTGGTAGGCCTCCTCTGCGAAGAGATAGGGAAAAGGAGACTCAGTTCTCAAGCGCTTCACGGGGCCACCAGCGAGTTCAAAGGGGGCCATCCTGCCATACCCCGCCATGCTCGGATGCTCGGTGCCCGCACATGAGGGCTGCTCCTTCATATTGTCGAGCCGGGCACCGCGAGGGGGGCCAAGGCTCTGCTGGCGGGGCGGCCGGCCTCAGGAAAGCACAGTCTCTCCAGCTTGGCGTCTCAGCTCAGCGTCCAGGGAGGGAGCGCAAAGTGTGGCCAGTCAACTTTCATACGCAGACACGGAGAAAACACGATGTGACTTTTAGACGGCGCGGCGGGCCGGAGTCCCCGTCCTTGAGGATGGCGCAGGGGGTGGCAAGCGCGCCTCGGAGCCCGCCCGGTGGAGGGAGCGCCTGGTCCACCGCCCGATCTCCTTGGTCCCGGGCCCCCGGCCGCGTCCCCGCGCCCGCCCCGCCTGGCGAGCCTCCTGCGCGGCGCTCGCAGCGAATGAATCAGCCCGGCCGGGTGCGCGGCCACCACGTTTCCTGTTTTCTTTCTCAAGTCCTCGGGCGGCGGGCGCAGCGCGGCTCCATCGCCGCGGCTTTCCGGGAACAGCCCCCTCACGCCCCTCGCGGCTGCGGCCCCTCCTCAACTCCTCACGGAGAGATTCCGAGTGGCCTAAGCCGGCCCGGCCCCCAGCCGCGTCCAGCCCCGCCGCCGCGCCGCATCACCCCGCGCACCCGGCGCGGCTCGCTTTGAAGCGGAGCCCGGGAGGCGCGGGCGCGAGCGTGTGTGTCTGTGGGGCGGCTGTGGGGCGGCGTGAGGGGAGCAGAGGAAAACCCGGCGTGGAGCGCCGGCCGCCCGCCCGCCGTCCGGGGTCGCGCGCGCTGCGGGGCTCAGGCGGGACCAGGCGCGCACGCGCGCACGGCCGCGCACCTGTCCCGCAGGGACCCCGCGCGCCCCGCGGAGCCGCTGCCCCTACGGGCGGTTCCGACCGCCCGAGCCCCATTATCTCCGCCACTAGCTGCTTCCTGCAAGGTTGTCCGACAGGCGGCACACACAAGGTTATTGAGGACCCGAGCAACCGTTTCTGTGGGTTTGGGTTTTAGGGGTTTTGAAGCTTTGATATTTGAGGGTTAGGCTTTACCTTCTTCAAGGGGGCAGGGTGGCTGTGGGAATAAAAACATTTCTATTAAGACCAGACTCTTATTAGTACCCAGCCCAAACCCTGCTAAGTTACAGACTTCTACATTTTGGGGTGGACATAAATAAGCAAATAAACATACACAATGCTACGTGGTCGGAATGCTTTAGAATCCACAGATTTGACAAGATGCTGTATTTTCACACTCGAAATTGAGAGGCATCTCAAAGGAATAGCTACGTGAAGGCATCCTACGGTGTGGGCAGTTTACACATGTCCTGCATACATGCTCCCTCCGAGTGTGGAATTGCAAATTAAAGTCAAGGATGGTCTTGACCAAAGGGGCAAAGTCTGGAAGTGTTTCTATCCATCACGCACAGAAAGGCAAACGTGAGAAAATGAAAAGTCCGTATCCAAAGGCATCATAGAGAAGCGGTCTATTTACAAAATCTGGCCCTAGGGAACAAGGGCACTCTAAATAAATGAATCAAGTGCAGAGGGTTTCACTACATTAGCCTGCGGATAAGCAAACCTTTCAGTAGGGGAAAATCCAAACTCCCAAGAGTCCATCATACAAAACTTTGTTATTGTCAATTAGAAAGAATACATTGACAATAAGCTTACGTAAAGTCAGTGAGATCACTTCCTTTATCTTGGAAACTACAGGTATTGAAGAACGTGTGCCCTTGTCATTTAGACTCTTTATGATCAGTGGCACAACCAAGCATTTCATGGTCTGACTCTCAGGTTCTTGGGATTTCCCAGATAAGATTTTATGGAAAATTTGTGAAAGTTAGAATAACTTTCAAATTGTTTGTTACATGTGCCACGTGGCTCATTGTTATCAAGGATTCTTGAATTGCTTGTTATTCACTTGAGAACACTAGGTTAAAATTTGCCTCTCTTATTCTACTTCTGTTTTTCCACACCAATCTCTGTAAATATATAATTTAGTGAACAAATAATCTAGACCTTGAGAGGTGAATTAAAGTATACAATTGGAACATTTTCTCCTATCGAATAGAATAACCATAAATGTAACTTTAAGTAGTATTTATATTAAGTAAATATTCTATCTGTGTAGCCTTCCCCTGATTATAATATAAAAAATATTACATACTTGTTATAAAAACTGAAACACTACACAGGCATACTATAGAAAGTCCCATGGAATCCCACGCAAGAATTAAGCCTCTAAACATAATACAACATGTTCATCTATATATCATTTCATTAGTTTCTTCCATATGCAAGTACAGCATTACCTAGTTGTGATGGTAATACGTCTACTACTATGAGTATTACCTACTATCATAAGGTTTTGTTCTGTTTTTACTGTTTCCGTTCCTCTACTATATAAAACGGGGATGTAGAAAGTTTTAAAAGGAAATGAACTTATTTAGGTCACTTTTAGTTGTTACATCCAGTGGGTTAAATAAAGATGCATAACCACTGTGTCTAGGACCTGTTCACTGCCATCTTTCCAGTCACCAGTTACATTCTGTAGTCAGAAGTTCCCTCTCTCTACATCTCTTCTGCTTGGCTTTCCATGTTCTTCTTTACCTCATTCCAACTATTCCAAAGTCTGAGCCTCAAAGGTCCTCTCCCCATTTTCACCAGCTTCTCCAAAGTTTTCAGAAATACGACCCTAGAACCTTGCAAGATGTGGTACTCCCCATTATATTTCAGTGTTTATTTTTTTACTGTGATAGTGGAAAAGTAATTCATGAAAGCTTCAGTACCTCAAGACATTATGCACTCAAATACAGGACTTGCGTAAGAAAGTAGTACTGCCAAAGGGACAACTTATTTCAGAATATCACTTTATGTCAAAATCATGGATTAGTCATTTCGACAGTCAGTATCTGGATACCATCATAATGGCGGTATGTACACATATTTTAAATTCTAAAATCTGCATTCACTGTATAAATCTAGATGATGGGGGAAAAAAGAAAGACAATAGCACATCTACATACCATTTAGAATGATTACTAGCCCAGAAGTTTGTTTCATAAAATTCTGACTCAAATAGACTTATTGTTGATATTAGTATAAAAAAGCTGAGAATACTACTTCCCAAATTCCTAAGTTTATAGGCAACAAGGCTAGCCACAGGCTTTTTAGGATCATTATTAAACCTTAACTTTTAGGAATTTTAACCCCAAATGTTCTAAGACATTCAGTAGCTGACCTTTTAATCCCTACTAAAAAAGCCTCAATATGGAGTTGCCAGTTATGCTACAGGAAATTGAGTCACCACACCAAACAACACACCTAAATGCCATCCACAGCAAGCAGGACAAAAACAGTGAGCTGTTTTAATTTCAGATTTTACCAAAAATACATACCACATTCATTAATAAAATACTTTTCTCTCCAGAGAATAGTCTTCACTGTGGCACTACTTGAAAATATATGAAAACCCTTCTATTAAACTGTCCATTTTTGCTGTCATCAAGGAACTACAGGAAGAAAAAACACCTAAGCAGGAACTGTTGGCTCAATTCCATAAAAGCTAGGAGAGGGTAATAGAACAATGGTCACTGAGAAATAACTTGAGCCTTTGGAAGTCCCCTCCTACAGCAGCAGCAGTTTTCTTCAAGGCACCCTTGAACTCTCTAACGCCCCAGTTCTGCTCCGTCTCTGCTGTGAACAAACAGTCCTCATTCCTGCAGGCCAGCACTTGGCTTCCTTCATTGTGATGCGATCAAGGGTTCCCCAGACACAAGGCCTGAAACTCTGCCAGGGGCTCCAGGAAAAGATGCTGAAGCAGCAGCATCTTTTCCTTTTCCCTTTGAAAAGGAAAAAAGTCATCACCTCACCAATCAGCAGTTGGCTAGAGGTTGAGATCATTTTCTTGTGAAATGTTCAGCTGTTTACTCTTACCCACAACTTACAGAGATGTTGACCATTGAGGTAAAAGGATCCCTTCACATGATGTGTAACTGTGTGGATATTGGTTTCTTTGCAAATACTTGAAGGACGAAATGTCTGTGGATATTTGACATAGTTCCTAGATAGGCCTATTGGTTTAAAACAAGAGGAATTGGTCCAAAGAATAGTACTTTAGACATCATTTGCTTATACTTAAATGAAAATAAATGCAAACTACAACAGTTGATCTGCAGTTTTCTTTAAAAGAAATAAAACTACTAAGCTACTCCTGAGAGCATATAAGTATGTATCTGGCTAACATTCCAGCTTCCCCTCTCCTAAAGCACAGCAAAATTTCCTCTTCGTTCCTAAGGATGGAGTTGATTGCACCTGAAGTAGGTATAACTGGGGGAAAAAAAAATTATTTCACCATGTATTGCTTCAAGCTAATCACTCCCTGAATTCACTACAGCAAAAGATTTGTGCAGGTTTGTTCTCTTACTGACACGTTCCCCTCCCCCATACATTTTATCTGATGGGAAATACATGAATGAGTTGGACTCACTTTCAATGTGTACATATAACAGGTTTAAGCAGAGCCTGCCAGTGGCAAGCTGCTCTCCAAGTGTGTTTCTGGCATTAAGTGCTTGTTTTGAAGTATTTTTAAAATCTTATGAAATATATAAAACTTCACTTAGAACTTTAAAAAAACCTCCAAAGCGAAGATGTATTTAATTTTGTGATATTTCTTTTATCTTCCCACTATGTACAATATTTTGTCTAGTGTTCCCTAAGGCTCTAGAAATTTTTAAAATGAAAAAAACATAAGATTGGGTTTCACTGACTTCTAGATGCATCAGTAATTCAAAAAATATTTATTTAGCACCGTTTATGTGTCATATACTTTATTAGTTTGCAGAACCAAGGTAACTAAAAGTTTGTTCCTTATTCAAGGAAAGTCTAGTGACCAGTAGTGGAGATAATTTCACCTACT